TCCTCCTCAACTTTTATTTATTCATTATGGCCAAAAAGATGTAAAAGAATTGCATTGGCATTCACAAATGCCTGGAATTGTGATCAGTACAGCTCAAAATGGTTTTAATATTTTCAGGACAATTAGTGTATAAATGCAGCATATTGTTTAATAAATTTTTATTTTATGATATATCTGATTGCAGTTATTACTTTCTTAAAGTAAATATTTATATTTTAAATGAAAATTTTTGAAGTTTTGCTAACATAAGCTATAATAAACAAGAAAAAAATTTAAAACATTTTGATGAGTGTTGGATGAGTAAGTCAAATAGGACTAATACAAATGAGCAGTTATTTATCATGACATGGTCACAATGCCAGACTGTAATTTTTAATCATGTTTTTAATTTCATTTAAAATATATGCTCTCTGCCTCAAATTAATAGTGTCTTGCCCTGTACAGTACATCATACTTTTCCTTTAGCAATAGAATCATGCCAGTAATCTAACTAACTCCTTTTGGGGAAAAATTTTTTTAATTGAAATAAAGTAACTTCCAGTTTGCATTGAAATTTTGTATATAGTTAATTGGGACCTCCTGCCCCTAATGTTTCCATATTTGATCTCAGCTTTCATCTATCAAACTCTGTTTTTGAGATTAGGGAAAGACAGTGGTAATTTATAGATCTAAAATTTTTTCAGATTGCAGCCCAATATATATATATATATTGGGCTGCAATATATAATATATATATTGGGCTGCAATCTGAAAAAATTTTATATAAATATATATATACATGCCTGTATATATGTAAATATATGTGCACATATTTGTTAAAATGTGTAGTTTATATTAATTTTACAAATTTATTGTTTTTTAAAAAATAAGCTAAGATTTCTTTTTAGTTCTGGCTTTTACATTTACCAAAAAATAAACAAAATTGATTCAAATTAGTGAGATGTTTACTGAAATAATAAATACAGTGCTTTATCAATGTATATTTTTTTATGAATTATTATTTCAGTTAAGTTTTTGACATAGTGTCTTTACATTTTCATTTTGACAGAAGAATTCCTAAATTGAATAATAGTTTATGTAAAGATTATTATTATTATAAAATAAATAATTTTCTATAATTGTGAAATTTAATGGCCACAAAGAAACACTTTTCCTCATAATCATTTTCAAAAATGTTTTAATAAATATTTAATGTGTTCTTCATAAGCTTTTAAAAACAACTTTTAGTTTTATTCAGTTTTATACATATAAAATCTATACATATACTTGTTCAATAAACATGTACAGTACAATATAGACTTCATTTTGAATTAAAAAAATTTTTTTTTTTTCAATTTGAACTAAAATTATGGGAGTGAGATATACAGTATTAAAAAAGAATTATAATTTTCTCTTATAAATATCTAGAACTGTATTCAGAAAACAATAGATGATGATAATGAGAAAAACAATTCAATAAAAGTTTATATATATCAAATTTCTGTGCTTCTATAAAAGATGTTTTTATGAGTTTTTTAAAATTACTTTTACTTCATCCCATCTTGTTGACTTATTTCATCTAGGCCAATATGATTAGTGTATTTAACT